CTTCATATCCCTGGAGCAGTTGTCCCTTGTTGCATGCCCACTCCCAAATACACTTGGCAAAGTTGGGAACCCCCTACCCCACCTGGACTCAGAATCATAACCAATTCTATTTCTACTCCTGAAAAAAATCCATGGGTTTTATTGAGGGCTGGAGTAAAACAAGTGCAACTCCTGATGTGGTGAGCGTGAGCTGCATCCACTTATATGATGGTGAATTTGGCTCTGTTTCTACAACAGTATAGCTATTGTTAGAATTACATGCTTCGGATAAGCAAGTGTTTCTCTCTGATATCAAAATATTTATATATTAATCAGTTCTAGTTAAACCAAACAAGTCACGTCTGACTGTTCCTAATATGATTCTCCTGAGCTAACTTTTCTGCCCATAGCCAAAGCTTTTGGCAATGAAGGTGGGGTTAGTGTTGACTGACATTCCTGAGAGAGAGGGAGAAATCACATCCTCCAGTGCAGAAATCACTACAGGCCTCCTTTATGCCTGCCCCTGGCATCACATATGCATTAATACCCTGCCTTAATAGAAAACATGAACTGTCTTGTGGATTTAATTAAAGCTCAGTTGAATTGTAAATTGATACCCAACATAATGCAAGGCTGCATCTGTGGCTCTTCTTTTTTTTATGCTGAATTAAAGAATTCAAGTATCGGGACACTTCAGTTAATATTTTTTCCATTTTACAAGGTTGCTGGATTTTAGACATGTGACTGTCTGTGGATGGGTAATAAATGTTAACATAGTACACAGGCCTGGACCTTGGGAGACACATACTATAGACCAGGGTTGAGCAAACTTCGGCCCGCCAGCAGTTTTAATCCGGCCCTCGAGTTCCAACTGGGGAGTGGGATTTGGGGCTTGCCCCCGCTCCGGTGCTCCAGCTGGGGAGCAGGGTTGGGGGCTGCTCCACGCGGCTCCCAGAAGCAGTGGCATGCCTCACTCCCCCCCACCCCCCCCCCCCCCCCCCCACCCCTGGGGCCCAAACGGGGCCCCCCCCCCCCCCCCCCCCCCCCCCCGGCTCCTATGCATAGGGGCAGCAAGGGGCCTCCGCTCTGCATGCTTCCCCCACAGCTCCCGTTGGCCGGGAACCACAGCCAGTGTGGGCAGTGCCTGCGGACAGGGCAGCGTGCAGAGCCACCGTGCCTTGCCTCGCGTAGGTGCCAGAGAAGGGACATGCCGCTGCTTCTGGGAGCCTGCACCCCGTGCCGCAACCTCCTGTCCCCTTTACTGTTAGTGCCCCAGCAAGTCAGATTGCCTAAGCAGGCCTGCTTTGCTTTTCTTCTCTGAGGCTATAACCAGTGTAATTGCCTACTGTACTGCCTGATCCCCCTCCCACCCTCCTGCACCCCTCGATCCCTGCCCAGAGCACCCTCCTGCACCCCAAACCCCTCATCCCTAGCCCCACCCAAGAGCCCGCACCTCCAGCCAGAGCCTGCACCCCTTCTCCCACCCCAACCCCCTGCTGTAGCTCTGATCCCCCTCCTGCCCTCCGAACCTCTTGGTCCCAGCCCGGAGCATCATCCTACACCCCAAACTCCTCAGCCCCAGACCCACCCTGGAGCTCACCCCCCCCCAGCTAGGGCCCCCCCCCCCCCCTTGTACCCCACTCCCATGCCCCAGCCCCTTCCCACACCCTGAACTCCTAATTTCTGGCTGCACCCTGGAGCCTACCCCTACCCCAACCAGAGCCCTCATCCCTTCCCGCACCCCAACCCCAATTTTGTGAGCATTCATGGCCCACTATACAATTTCTATTCCCAGATGTGGCCCTCGGGCCAAAAATTTGCCCACTCCTGTCCTAGGCTAACAAACTCATTGGCCATCATTCTGTTTAGCGCAAATGCAACAGAATGTAGTTAGTGGACCAATATCTGCTATATATTATCCAAAAATAAAATGGCAACTTTTTTTCTCATTTGATTTACATCACCCGTTTGATTTATGAATTCAGTATTCAAAGTATACACAAAAAAGCACTTTCCTCGAAGGGACTTTGCAATGATCTAAGACCTTCTGGTTCCAATGCCTCCAGAGCGTCTTGTCTGTTGACATATACCTAGTGGCAGGAGGCAGACCTTCCAATTCTAAAGAAAGGAGGGAATATACCCTTCCATACATTTTCAATCTTGCAGAAAAACCTCTGTTGTCAAAGATTAGGAAGCTGAACTCCAGCTAGTTACTCAGTTGAAACATGAACAGGTGTGTCAAAGGATTTCATCCTGCCAAGAATCTGCTACAATAAATTTTTCTTGAGGCTTGTCGGTTATGTCCTTCACATATTGTATTCTGGCTTCCCATAATGTATTCTTACTTGACTTGAAATTTCACATGCCAAATTCCATTGGCAGCCTTGTGTGTCAGTATCACATAAGACTATTTCAGAAGTGGTATATATTAACTGAATATCTGTGTTTTTTAAACAGCATTAGGGGCCAAATTGTTATCTTGATGTTATCCATACCTTACTTTGCCAGTATAGCCCCACTGATTTCACTGCAGTTGTGTGTAGAGTAACATAAGTTAGAAGAGACTGAGGAGGAGAAGGACTTCGGAGTCCTGGTTGATCGCAGGATGACTATGAGTCGGCAATGCGACGTGGCTGTGAAAAAAGCTAATGCGATCTTGGGATGCATTAGGCGAGGTATTTCTAGTAGGGACAGGGAGGTGCTGCTTCCGTTATACAAGGCGCTGGTGAGACCTCACTTGGAGTACTGTGTGCAGTTCTGGTCTCCTATGTTTAAAAGGGATGAACTGAAACTGGAACGGGTACAGAGAAGGGCCACTAGGATGATCCGAGGAATGGAAAACCTTTCCTATGAAAGGAGACTCGAGGAGCTTGGTTTGTTTAGCCTAACCAAAAGAAGGCTGAGGGGGGATATGATTGCTCTCTTTAAATATATCAAAGGGATAAATACCAGGGAGGGAGAGGAATTATTTCAGCTCAGTGCTAATGTGGACACGAGATCGAATGGATATAAACTGGCCGTGGGGAAATTTAGGCTTGAAATTAGACGAAGGTTTCTAACCGTCAGAGGGGTGAAATTTTGGAACAGCCTTCCGAGGGAAACGGTGGGGGCGAAAGACCTCTCTGGCTTCAAGATTAGGCTAGATAAGTTTATGGAGGGAATGGTTTGATGGGATTACGTGATTCTAATCAATTAGGCAATAACGGCCATCGCTGGTAAAATGAGGGTCTGGCTAGAGAATCTTGCCTGTATGCTCGGGGTTCTGCTGATCGCCATATTTGGGGTCGGGAAGGAATTTTCCTCCAGGGTAGATTGGCAGTGGCCCTGGAGGTTTTTCGCCTTCCTCCGCAGCATAGGGCAGGGGTCGCAAGCTGGAAGATTCTCTGCAACTTGAAGTCTTTAGATCACAATCTGGAGACTTCAACAGCAGAGTTAAGGGAAAGTGGGGGGGGGGGTCAGCTTTTGTGGCCTGCATCATGCGGGGGGTCAGACTAGATGACCATATTGGTCCCTTCAGACCTTAAAGTCTATGAGTCTATGAGTCTATGAGGTGTTATCACTGTTCAATGCGAATATGGGCAACTGACTAACTCTGAGTTACGAAGTCTCATGACAGGCTTAAGGTTAAATTCTGCTACTGTTCCCCTTTTCTAGATGAGTAAATGGAGATACAATGCAATTAAGCGACTTGCCATAGGTCTCTGAGCAAGCCAATGAAAAGAGCTGAGGAATAAAGCCCAAAAGCCCTAACTCCTAGCTTCATATATACTCTGATAGGTAGACCTCCATGCTTTCCTGCACTAGGATAGTGTCTTAAGGACACTTGTCACAGTTCAGAACTACTGCACCTATATTCTCCCTCCCTGTTGAGCAAGGGAACACACTTCTAGGCTTCATTCTCCCTGCCATCACCTCTTTTGGGCAGATACCCGCATCTTTCTTTCCTGACTGGGGTTTTTCCAGGCTGCACTGTTCCCTGCTTCACTGTTAGTGCCCCAGCAAGTCAGATTGCCTAAGCAGGCCTGTTTTGCTTTTCTTCTCTGAGGCTAACCAGTGTAATTGCCTACTGTTATAAAGGTACCACCCAGCTCTTTTTAAGCAGGCGAGTTTATTCTTAAGGTAAAACCATTACAGAGAAAACATTAAGAACAGTGATAGATCCTTCATGCATGCTAATAAGCTTACTGAAGACCACTCCAACAAAGGCTTTGGTAGGTGGCCAGTCCTTCAAACGTGTCTCTAAGGAGTGGGGCACCTCTTTGGACAGTGGGTCCTGTGTGTTTGCTGGATCAGAAAGAAGGGTCTGTGTCAGTTTAAATTCAAGATATTTATCCTAAAATCCTCTTTGTTGGGCTCTGGAGAATCCAGTTTGAACCACTCTATGTGAGTTTCTCTCGGTGGTGGTACCTCTGTAGAAGTGTTACAAATTGACTGGATCTGCCTATTCAGCCCCGACTGTTGTTAGTTCCTGGAGGGCTGTGGTCACCTACTGTAATCTGCCAGGGTATAGGCAGCTTACCTTGCAAGTGGAGCAGAACTTAGCTTGGTGGTTATGGTAGTAGTTTGGGTAATGGCAGGCGAAGATCCAGGGTTCAGGCTCCAGCCCAAAGGTGACATTGGAGTCACGGTTGAGGGGCCAAGCCAAAAGTCAGAACTGGAGTCAGAAGCGAAAGGGTAAACCAACGTCATGGTCAGAGCCAGGAGCCAGCAATCACATCTAAGCTAAAGGGTAAGCTGGAGTCAAAGTCAGCCAAGAGTCTGAGTCAGGAGTCAGAAACCAGAATTGAGCTAGAGCAGGGCTTGGAGCAAGGACTGAAGCAGTAGTGAGAACAGGATAAACACAGCTGCAGGCTTCGTACATATTGAGCAGCCACTGGGGTGGTGTTGCTGCAAGGCTCAGATAGCAGCCTGATGGCTCCTTTGGCCAATCAGGAAGTGTGGGGTAAGGGCTTATTGGGCCCACCTGAGCTTGCTGGGTTGCCTTGTGAATATTTTTTTTTTCCGCTCGGTCCCAGGGAGAATCAGCCCCCGAAACCGTACAGCGTGCGGCCTTGGCGTTTCAGGGCGTAGACCACATCCATGGCTGTTACCGTCTTGCGCTTGGCGTGCTCGGTGTAGGTCATGGCATCACGGATCACATTCTCCAGGAAAACCTTCAGCACCCCGCGAGTCTCTTCATAGATCAGCCCCGAGATACGCTTCACACCACCGCAACGAGCCAGACGGCGGATCGCAGGTTTCGTAATGCCCTGGATGTTATCCCGCAGGACCTTCCGGTGCCTCTTAGCACCTCCTTTTCCTAGGCCCTTTCCACCTTTCCCGCGTCCAGACATACTAACGCCAACAAAACAAAACACTATAAGGCTGAGAGCCACCTCTGCCAGGGCCGGCGCTTCCATTTAGGCGACCTAGGTGGTCACCTAGGGTGCCAGGATTTGGGGGGGTGGTATTTTGCCGCCATTGGCGGCAATTCGGCGGCGGGGGGTCCTTCCGCGTCTTCGGTGGCAATTCTGCGGCGGGTCCTTCACTCGCTCCGGGACCCGTCGCCGAAGTGCCCCGAAGACCGGGAGTGGGGAGGGCCCCCCCCCCCCCGCCGCAGAATTGCCGCCGCCGACCGGGAGCGCGGAAGGACCCCCGCCTAGGGCGCCAAAAACCCTGGCGCCGCTCCTGACCTCTGCCCAGATACCTTCTCCCATGAAATAACAAACAATCCCTGGCCCATAATGACACACAAACAATCTTAATATAGTAAGATCTCCCAAAGGTATTGTAGGCTATTGCCATATTTGTCACAATACTGACCATCTTTATTAGGATGTGTCAGTTCATCCAGTTTTTGTCCAGGTTCCTTATGGTAAAGTCCTCGTGATGTCCAAGCAACTTTAACAGAGAGAGGTTCCCTCTGGAATTACTCTATCTAGCAGAGATGTTTTTATGATGAGTTCAGGCTAGTGTCAGATTCTATAATTTACCATTGCTTGAAGACTTGATTTATTTAAACACCAGTGCTTCTCTTCCTTTATTTCTTAAGAAAAGAGGAACCTGACATAAATTCTTCATTTAAGCAGGAACACATTCACTCTGCAAGTAGCAATATGGAGAGAAAAATCTAAACATTGGGTTTCGGTAGTGTTGTCAATAACACTAATTCAGCAGTTTTGTTTATGGTAAATTTAGCAGAAAAACATTTTTTGGTGGTGTTAAACTTATTGAAGAATAAATATTTTTCATATAGCCAAATAAAGACCTGCAAAATTACTGGTTAAATATGTTGGGCCATATCATCAACTGATATAAATGGGAGTAGTTTCATTGAGATTGAGTGGAACTTTGCTGATTTCCACCAGCTGAGGATCTGGCTTGCTATAACTATAGGAATTATTGAACTGCATTAAGAAGTAATCATCAGAAATCTGGCAAAAAATAAATAAATCCTCTGCACTTTCAGTGATCTCAGTTTTGAAGTGGTTTCAAAGAAGTTACTCCATATTTTCGCTATGATCAGAGTTGCGGGTCCATTATTTTGATCTCTTGTTTACTCATTTGGAAGTTGTTTTCCAAACTAGGATTCATGTCTATACTGTCTGGGGATTATCCCGTTCTATAACAATTTTGATTTGTGTGTCTGTGTGTATATGGCAGACTATAAAGCATTTTGGGAGCTCAGAATAAATCTATTTCTCAGTTACTGCATTGTACAGATTCTTTTCCATATTATATGTGATCAAACCAGACTAAAAGCTTCTGCTTAAAAGTTTTTTTATAGTTGAAAAAAAGGAAAGAATATTTGACATTTTAAAAGAAAATTTTCAAGCTGATTTTGATTTTTTTTTTTAAATTGGTGAAGTTTACCATCAAAAGATAGAAATTGAACAGTTTCAGGAAAGAATTAATCACTCTGCTGCTATATTGACTGTTTGTTGACATTCCATATAGAGTCACTAAATAAGTTTGAAATGTGTCTATAATCAGATCCTCAACAGTCAATGCAGCTGTGTGACATGGAATTCCTGTTAATGAGAAATCTGCAGTGTACTAAAACAGTACTATATTAATATTTTTCATCATTCTTATAAATCACTTTGATGTAGGGCCATTGTGTGGATCAAAGCATGGACTCTTTCCTTTCTAATCATTCTGGGCTAACTATGCTCTTATAGGACTAGATTGTGTCCTTAAGGCACAGCCCTAAGTTAGAGTTGTCAACCCTCCAGGATTATCGTGGAGTCTCTAGGAATTAAAGAGTAATCTTTAATTAAAGATTATGTCATGTGATGAAACCTCAGGAATATGTCCAACCAAAATTGGTAACCCTACCCTAAGTAGAGCCACACCAGCCCAGGGTAAGCTCAAGAAGGGATTGTCCCTGATCTCAGTGGAGAGGGGTGCACTCAGCCACCTACAGGTTTGTGCAGAGGTAGGGTGGAGCTGTGACCCCTCCCTGCCACTTTGTTGTGGATTGCACCAGTGGAGGCCTTGAGCCCTCCTACACCCTACATGCAATGGCTGATCATGGTCTGCCCGATACTGTCCTTCTTCTTTACCATTATCAAAGAATCATAGAAATGTCGGGCTGGAAAGGACCTCGAGAGGTCATCTAGTTCAGCCACCTGTGCTCTGGCAGGACGAAGTAAACCTACACCATGCCTGACATGTTTGTCCAACCTATATTTAAAACCCCCAGTCATGGGGATTCCCCAACCTTAGAAGCCTGTTCCAGAGCTTAACTACTCTTATAGTTAGAAACTTTTTCCTTATATCTAACCTAAATCTCTCTGGCTGCAGATTAAATCCATTACTTCAGTGCACATGGAGAATAATTGTTTACAGTTCTCTTTATAGCAGCCCTTAGCATATTTGAAGACTGTTATCAGATCCCCCCTCAGACTAAACATACCCAGTTTTTTAACCTTTCCTTATAGGTCAGGTTTTCTAAACCTTTAATCATTTTTGTTGCTCTCTTCTGGATTCTCTCCAATTTGTCCACATCTTTCCTAAAGTGTAGCGTCTGGAATAGGACACAATACTCCTGATGAGGCCTCACCAGTGCTGAGTATAGTGGGACAATAATCCCCATGTTTCCCATACGACTTTCCTGATAATACACTCCAGAATGTTAGGGTTTTTTTGTTTGTTTTGGAGCTGCATCACATTGTTGACTCATATTCAATTTGTGATCCACTATAGCCCCCAGATCTTTTTCAGCAGAACTACCACGTAGAACATTATTCCGCATTTTGTAGTTGTGCATTTGATTTTTTCCTTCCTAAGTGAAGTACTTTCACTTGCCTTTGAGTTTCATCTTTTATTGTTAGATGGTGCAGAAGATAATTAAGATACTACTCTGCCAACTGTCCACAAGACATTGTGCATATGTTAGATGCAGTGTGGTCAGTTTCATTTGGCTTCAGAAGAAGGAATTTGAATGCTGTTCATGTATCAATCTGTCACTAGTGAAAATGCAGACCAGATTCTGCTTTTGCACCATCTCACAACTGTGGGGAGTTCTGCAGTTTAGCAAGGGATGGCACAAATCTCTTCTTTAGTTTCTATCAATGTGAGTATGCCTTTCTCCCTGAGTTTTGCTTTAATTTTAACTTGAAATATGCAAAGAAGAGTTGAGTTGAGTTCAGTTAGTTTGCCCTAGGTTTGAGTGAAAATTATGCAAAAGCGCAAGATTTTTATGGCTAGATGTATGACTGTACTGAAGTACACTTGAAGGATTCATGAACCTGGAGTGAGTGACAAGTATGAAATGAAACTGGAAACCAAGGTGTCAGATGATTTCAGATTTTGTCACAATTTTTGCACAGATTTAATACTAGGGAGTTGCTGAGGCCTTTTTTTTCTGACAGTAAAGCAGATTGATCACATATAAGTAGAAAATGTTTTTTATGTTGCAGAATTTTAATAATTGTTTTCCTATTTATTTCTTTGTTTTAAGCAGAAACTAATTTTTCAGACTTATCGCTAAAAACATTAATGCTGTTTCCTTAGTTATAAAAAACTAATACTCAAATCATTGTAGATAATTTGCAAATTTAGAAGTAGATACCTACACTTGGCCTAGTGGGGCCACCTTTCTGTTCCCCCTATCCTGGCCTTTACAGGATATGTTAACACAGACTAAGCAGTGCTTAAAGTGTGTGTGTGTGTGTGTGTGTGTGTGTGTGTGTGTGTGTGTGTGTG